CCCCCTCTGAGAACTCAGCGCTTAAGATTCGGAAATCAAGTGGTCTGCACAAACTGAGCACACAAATAGGGTGCGCAGGCAAACTGGTTAAAAAGTGACTTCCTTGAAATGCATTTTTACAGATTCGTTTATTTATTCAACAACTAATTATTAAGCTCCTACTCTGAGGCAGGCTCTGAACACTGCAAACACATCGGGGGGAGAATCAAGACCAGAAATTTCTAGAGGATTTGCAAAAGTGGGCTTAGAAGCTAGCAAAAAAAAAAGTCGCCAAAAGCTGGAGCGGCGTCAAGTACCAGCGCACCGCGCCTGCGCATCTCCCACTTCCGTTTCCTGCCCGCGACGCCGGTGCGACTGGCCGCCCGTACTCGAAGCTTACCTCTTGTTGAGCTAGCAGTACCCTCCGCTCACGCTCCTTTTCTTCTTCCCTGGCCTGAGCTTCGTCACGCCTCACGCGGGCGACATTGTCCTTATTCCGAACATGCCAGCTCTTCTTGGGCAAGATGTTCATGGTGCTGTAGCTGTACACAGACTGGCAGACCCGCCTTCTAGCACTTCCAATTGGCAGGAGATGCCCCGCCCTGTTCCCTACCTCGGCCACGGTTTGGTTGAGGTCAATTAGCACCGCCCCTCCAAGTCCGTAGAGAAAGGTGATTGGCCGAGACACGCTCCATCACAGCCAATCCCAGACATTGAGAGTTTTGTACGCCTGGCGACAGCTCTTGTCGGGATTGTCAAGCGGCCCTGCCCCTGACGCTACCGGAAGCGGCCGCCGATTGGCTGGCATGCCGTCTAGCCCTACGCGCCGACACGCATGCCCATACACCCGATTGGCTAGTCCCGGGGCAAAGCCCTACCCCAGACTTCAGGACTCAGGTTTGAAAGAGCGCTCAGGAGCCTCAACCCTGTTTATTAAAGTGATCAGAAGGTTCAATTAGACCGTCCGTACTTGGCAGCGGAAGCTCTGGAAATCTCGTGACAGGGCTGGGAGGCCGTCATAATTTCTGGGGAAAGTCTGGGCCTCACGGTGGGACATCATCCCGAGACACGCTGGTCGAAGTCCCTTTGGCGGAGCTCATTGCCACTGTCCGCTGTGCCAGGAAGACTTTATTCTGCGCTTCCTGGGGTCAAGAGAGGTGAAGGTGAGACACACCTTCTCTCCCCCATGCCACTTTCCATGTCCCCAAGGAGCCCTTCCCAGGGACTGGCCTGGCTCACCGTCTTTATCTGGCGTTTGAGCTCAGAGATGAGGCGTCCATAAGAGTTAGCTAGGGCCACGGTATACGCCATCAGGATGCTAAGGGAGAAAGGAATGGAAACCTCTCCAGAAACTCTCTTAGATTATCTTCACCCTATGTCTCATTAAAAAACAGAGACTGGCACGCATGAGCCAGGCCCCAGGTTGAATCCCCAGCAACACAGAACAGGCACCACAGACACACGTCCTGATCTAGGTATTTAGGCAGGATGCAGCGGTGAACACCTGTAATTCCAGCTACTCGGGAGGCAGAAATAAAAAGGGCTGGGGATGGGGAAATGTAGCTTAGTTATAGAGCGCCCCTGTGTTCAATCCCAGTGCTGAAAAGAAGGGGCGGGGGAAGACTCCAAGACCCCCTCCTCCTTCAGATTCAGGAATTCAGTCTTCTAGACCCTCCTCTTCCTTAGGAGCAAGGACTCCAGGGTCCCACCCCTCCTCTCACGCCCAGGAGAGCAAGACCCCATTCTCCTCCTCTCAAGACCCAGGAATCTAGTACCAAGCCCCAACTCTTCCTTAGGACCAAGCAATCCAGGCCCCAACCCACCTCCCTCAGACTCAGGAATTCATACCCCTGTCCCTTCTTTCTAGGATATCTTGAGGACACAGGTAATGGGACCCCAGATCACATATTCAAACTGAGAAGTCTGTGTCCCCTCACCTGGAGATCAGCAGGAGAGGCACAGCAAAAGCCTGGGTCCCCAGAAAGAAGAGAAAATTCTGGGTGGTCTGAGGGAGGCTGTCAATGGATTCAGGGATCTGGGCCCAGATGGATGACTTCCCCCGGAATGGACCGCACGCCTTAGAAGGTGGGATCCTGGAGGCAGAGACAGGCTGGGCTCAATAGGACCAGAATCAGAACCCTGAGTGAAGGTAGAAGAAGGAGGCAGGAACCGCTCCCACTCACTGGAATATGCTGTAAAACACCGGGACAGCAGAGATGGCCAGACCCAAGAGAAGGACCAGAGGGAAAAAGAAATTCGCGGTGGAGGCCCGGAAGGTGCGGGAGGCTGGAGAGCAGGTGAAGAAGAGGGTGACCTGGCAAAGAAGGTTGGAAAAGGGGTTCTGAGACCCAAGAGTCGCTCACTTATCCTTTTTTCCTACCCTAGAGTCCTGCCCCCCACCCCAGGCTGTACCAAGGAACCTGAATTCTAATGGCGGAGACCTAGATGACGGGATGCCCTAGACCCCTTCTTCTGCCCTCCAGCGCTCTCAGGACCCAGTAGTCAGAGCACCTGGCATCCTCGTCCAGCCTCCAGGGTGGTCCCAGTACTTGTTGGCTGGGTCCTTCTCACTCACCTTCTTCAGATAGAAAAGCAGCAGGAACTTGACCGTGTTGAGCAGGGGCAGTAAAGGGCAGAAAAAGCTCCCCACCCAGACCACCGTCTGGGCGTAGATAAGTCCCAGCACCTCGTCGGGCACCTGGAACTCCTGGGTCCCGGCGACTCGACCCAGCGCCCCAGGACAGAAGCCACAAACCAGCCTGCAGGGGGAGCGGGCCAGGCGGTGAGAGACGCGCCGGCAGGTTTCCCCGCCCCCAAGGCCCCAGCCGCCAATCGGAAAGGAGCGCGGGGCGGGGTCGGAGGGAAGGAACCCCCGAGCACCAGGCGGCCGGGTCTCAGCACTCAGCCCGGCCCCGGGTCCCCAGCGGCGGGGCGAGCAGGGAGTACTGCGCCTTGAGGGCGGGGCCTGCTCCCGGAGAGGCGGAGCCACGGGAGGGGCGGGCTCTCACTTCCGAGGAAACTGGACGAGCAGCGTGAGCGCCAGGCCGCTCAGAAAATCAAAGATGAGGAGTTTGTACATCTCCTGGCCCAGACGAGTCTCCCAGCACTGAAAAAGGAAGAAGCCGCGGCAGGGAGCCAGGCTGTCGGGCGCAACCGGTGCATTCTCGGGGCCCTCCCTCTTCCCAAGCATCCACCCCTAGAGAGCAACCCAGGCTCCTCCCGCCTCCCAACCCGGACATCAGGTCCCCTTCACCCAGCTCCTCCTTTCCTCCAGGGATCCATGATTTGAAGCTTCCAGCCCCGGGAGCTTCTCACCGGAAGCTCCTTGTAATTATAGCCGCAGGTCTTGCAGTCCTCAGCCTGGGCGTCGCCCCCGCAAGTGATCTGACTCCAGAGGGAGAAGAGCAGGACCAGCAGGGATGCAAGGCGCAGAAACACAGTCCTGCCACGCAAAGGAGGAGGAGGATTTTCCCCGTTTCACAGGTGAAGAAACTGAGGCTCAGTGTGATCCGATTTTGAATCCAGAACCCCTGGATCCCATATCCGTGGGATTTCCCGTCTCATTTGCAGAGCCAACATCCTGACCGCTGCCATTCCACCACCCCCAGCCCCATCCCAGGAGGCTGGAACCTGAGCAGGATAAAAACGATCTGGCGGCTCCGAGTGTAGCCCTCCAGTGGGGCGATCAGCTTGAACACAAACGGCAGCACGAAGTTGACCACGGAGATGAAGATGGACGGAAGATAATTCACTACAAGCTTTAGCAGTGGGGTCTGCTGCACAAGGGACATCTCCTGGGAAGGAGGACAAACCAAGCAAAGAGCCATGCCTAAGGTTCCCCCCCAGCCTCCTCTTCCCTCAGGGCCATTGAGTCCAGGGTCCAAACACCTCCTCCGCCCCTGTGCTCCTAAGATTCCAGGAATCCTAGGCCTCGGTTCCCCCCACAGCCCTCCATCCTTGGAAATGTAGGTTCCAGGGCCCTGGGACGCTCCTTCCCCAAGACCCTTGACACCTGCAGCTCCACGGTGTATCCTGTGGCCCAGTAGACACCGTAAAAGGCCGCCGCCAGGAGCGCCAACACCAGCAGGTTGAGTAGTGCACGCACCAGCCACACCTTGGCTTGCTGGCCCAGTGTCCGAGCCGCAGCCTGGCGTCGGACCACTGCTTCCTCCAGTTCCACCTGAGGCCAGGAGAGACGTTCCCGGGGGCTCCATCTCCTCAGTTCTGGGGGCTGCCCAGAGCCCCTCCTCAAGTTGAACGGATGCACTCCTCACCTACCAGCTAAGGGTCTCTTGTTGTCCCAGTTCCACCCACTCCTGACCCTACATAGGACCATTCAGGCCCCCTCTCAAGACTCCCGCCCTGCACTTCCTGCCTGGAGCTCCAATCCCGCTCTGGCCAAGCCACCAGTCCACTTTGAACCAAGGTGTTCTGCTGGGTACTTGTTTCTGCACTGCTCAGCCTCAGGCAACCCTGTTGTCACACCATGCTCCTCAGCTCTGCCATACCCACGACCTCCCTCCTTAGAAGAATCTCTGACCCGCTTCTCTCCGAAAGCCCTATCACAGGGTTAGGCCCAGCGTCTTCTCAGCTCGGTCCCTCCGGTCCTTAGGGAGTTGTGGCCCCCGCCCTACCTCAAGCGCACCTGCAACTCATACAGAATGATGCCCTGGCGGAGCCGCACATTCTCGTCCCCACGGAGGCCAAAGTCCCAGGCTGAGAACACCTGGTGGCTGTAGCTGGTCAGAGCCCCGGATTCAGCCAACAAGGTCTGCTTCAGTCCCGACACCGAGCTGAAGAGGGGAGACCCGCGAGACTGGGTGTGAGAACAGCCACGAGTGGGGGGTCCCGGGGCACCCCTCTAATGGGACAAATGGAACGTGAACTCTAAGGTCTTTGGCAAACTCCGCCTGATGGAGAAAGACTCAAAGAGGTGGAACACACATAGTCCTTGGAACCAAAGGCCACGAGGTGCAGAGAAACGTGGGGTACAGACAACTAAAAGTGACACAGAAGGAGAGAGTGAGTCCCAGAGAGCAGAGGAAGGGACCTGGGAAGGAGACAGAGGCCCAGAGAGGGTAGAGGTAACGACCACAAGAGACAGAGGGCACAGAGGCCCAGGGAGGGGACAGAGAACCAGAGAAAGGGACAGAAACCACACCCAACCCCACATCTGCCTTCACCCTCTGGCCTCAGCCTCACCTTTCCCATGCACAACCAGGAAGGCTGTACCTCTGAGAGCCCATTCTCAGGCTGTACCTCTGAGAACCCATTCTCAGGCTGTACCTCTGAGAACCCATTCTCTGGCTGTACCTCTGAGAGCCCATTCTCAGGCTGTACCTCTGAGAACCCATTCTCAGGCTGAACCTCTGAGAACCCATTCTCTGGGTGTATTTTTTTTAACCCAGGATTGAAACCAGGGGTTCCTAAACATGGAGCCACATCCACAGCCCTTTTTATATTTTGAGACAGTACTGCTAAGTTGGTGAGGCTGGCATTGAACTTGTGACCCTCCTGCCTCAGTCTTCCAATTCACTGGAATTACAGGTGTGCACCACCAAACCCAGCTCATTTTGTTTTTGAGCTGGTTGGGACTTCCTTTTTTAGGCAAAAGAGATGCTGTTGGCTATTGAAAACCCATTATGTAACTTCTCCCTGCTCTTAAGATTCAGGCTGCTTCCTAGCATAACCAGCCAGGGTCCACAACTTCATCTACCTTTGAAACTCAAACCTCATTCATCTTCTTCCTCCTCCTCATACTGGCTTTTTATTTCTCGAGACAAACCCAAACATCTTTCCCACCACAGGGCCTTTGTACGGCAGTGTGTTTTGCCTGGAATGCTGGAGTCTTGGCTGACCAGCTGGCTGGCTCCTTGTCTTTCCAGGGCCCATCTACAGGTTCCCCAGTCAGGGAAGCCTGTGCTGACAACTGCATCCAATGAGGGTCCCCTGCCATTCTCTATTACAGGGGTTAGCAGCCCCTGTGTCAAATCCCACTCAACACCTGTTTTTGTAAATATTGGAACACGCCCACCCATTTGCACGTCACCTATGGCTGCCCTCAGGAACTACGAGGGCCAAGATTAGTTGGGACTAGACTGAGTGACCCTCGAAGATGAAGATGCGTACTCGCTAATTTACAGAAGTCTGTTGGCTCCTGCTGTCACACCATGCAGCCTGTTTTTATACAGGGCCATTCCCCAACTCAAATTACTGATGTCTGCTCGTCCACATCTGTCCCACTGTTTATTTCCCCTCCCGGGCTGGGCTGTAAAGCATGCAAGGGATGGGGACCCTTGGGTGGCTCCCATGCCTGGCCACAGTGTCCAGCTCATAGGAGACACTCCATTTTAAAAAATGTTTATTCTTAAGTTTTAGGTGGACACAATGTCTTTATTTTACATTTATGTGGTGCTGAGGATGGACCCAGCGCCTTGTGCATGCCAGGTGCGCACTCCACCGCCGAGCACAACCCCAGCCCCCCCTCCATTCTTTTTAAGTCCTTGATTTCCTTCTTGAACACACTCCTTTCCTTGGGGGTCTCCCTGTCCTGCCTGAATGCCAGAGTCCCAAGTGTGTAGTCTAGACCCCACCCACATATCCAACTGCATGCGTAACACTGGGTCTAAAAGGCACCTGGGTGCTTGGGATGTGGCTCAGGGGTGTCACCTGGTATCCATGAGGCCTGGGGTCCCATTCCCCCCCAATATCAAAAGGCACCTCAAAAAACACTGGGTCCAAAGCTGCGTCCCAGATACCCTCACCAGCCCGCTCCTTGTACGGCCGGTCTGTCTCCACCTCTACCCTGCCGTGTGTGGGTCCACAGGGAGTCCTTCTGGACTTTGATTTCAACCACACCCCTAATACAGTCAATCAGGAACCCCTGGAAATGCACCCAGCTTAACACGATGAAAACCAGGCCACAGGACAGTGCGAGCAGAAGGGCGTGGTTACAGGAGCACCCTCTCTCTCTCTTTCTTTCCTGGTGCTGGGGATTGAGCCTGGAGGTTCTCTACCAAGAAGCTACATCCTCAGCCCTTTTTATTTTGAGACAGAATCTTTTGCTTAAGCCTTCACTAAATTGCTGAGGCTGGCCTCAAACTTGTGATCCTCCTACCTAAGCCTCCTGAGCTGCTGGGATTACAGGTGTGTGCCATCAGCCAGCTCCTGATCACTTTCTTGATACCAGTGGAAACCCTTTCCTTGTGTACTTTTAAATACTTGTGGCATTTTTAAAGGTTAAAACTAACTCCAAAACTGACCCCTTGTCACCACCCTGCTTCTCCCATCAGATGGTGGTCTGTGCCATCGCTTGTTACCTGGACTCTGGCAGTGACCTCCTAGTGGACCTCCTCCCCTCACTCACTCCTTCCTTCCCTCCCTCCCCTTCTTTCTCTCTGCCTCCTTCCCT